GTGCATGTACTCTATCATGAGTAGGGAAACACCTGACAATATAAATCTTATTTTTAATTCAAATTGTGGAACCCTCCAACTTTTTCTTATAGGCTAAGGTAATTTACTAAGATCTTCCTCTACTTTCCATACTGTTTGCTGGTACTCTACCCTGTCAAGTACTTGTTTTCCTCAGGGATGGAGACTAGAAGAAATGCATTGCCTTTTTATCAGCAGATGCTTTTCTTTTAACCTCCCAGTTGCACAGTCAGAGTTGCCAAAATTGTCATACTAAGAGAGTGAGAAATAAAGTGATTTTCTAAAATATCTTTGTAAAATAATTTCCCTCAATTACCTGCTGGAACCAAAAATGTAATCACAGGTCCTAAAGGCTGGTGTTCAAAGGACATTTGGTGTGGTACTCCACAAGATCAATTAAATCAATTAACTCATGTCGTGTTGTAGGGAAGTAAAAGAACAGTCATGATTGAAATTGAAATAACAGGTTCATTTTCTAACACAGTACATGGCTAAACAAAAGTGGCTTTTCTGTTTCTAAAACAAATGATTCTTTTTCCCAAAGCTTTGAACTACTTCTGCAGTAGTGATTGCCACTATATATAGACTTTCCATTATATGATGAAAAAATGCGTCATTTTTCTTTTCTTTTTTTTTTTTTTTGAGAGGTTTTTGTTATAGGGCACGTGTGCTCACCAGGAAGACAGAGAGAGACAGAGAGATAGAAAGAGAGAGATCATCACCCAAGGGGGATGGCCATGCTGCAATCCCTTCTCCTCCATTCTCCTCTCGGGATCTTGGGCACACATGCATACGCGCCCGGCATAAGTTCAAGCCATTGGGTCCGGGACTCGCTCTGCAGTCAGCTACATGGGAGTTCAGCGACATAGCCATTACGCCAACTGCTGGTCCCGAGAAAATGCATCATTTTTCTTTACTTGCCTATAGCTTTGGTTAATGTACACAACTCATTAATGAAAGAAGGTAGCATTTCCAAAGCTGCTGATAAATGCTTAGATAATTACATGGGTGTAACTAGTGACTATGATAGACAATTTTATTACATATGGTTTCAAGTCACCGAATCCGGTACTCAAACCATAGTTGACCATCTGGGAGTTCAGTGACTTAACTACTTTATCACCTGCTGGCTCCCATTTATTCCTTACATGAGCAGGAGAGTTAGAGAGAACTGGTAACGGAGAGAGGGACAGACATCCCCAACAGGATTTTGACCTCTAATCCAACCCCAGCCTCCATCAGCACTGGATCACGGGCTTGGCATACTCAGGGAGTTCTTCAGAAATGAACCCAGAACTTTTCTATGTAGGTCAGCTTTGCAAAGTACCATGTGGGTCAGCCTTGCAGAGTGTCCCATTTTACTGCTCACCACCATCCACCCCCACTCCCCTCCAGTTGCTTTTTATACATGCACTTGCTAGATACACATCATACAAATAGAACAGTCATCAAAATAGTGCACTCCAGGAAGTGAAAACCAGACTCATTCTATGGCTATCTAAAGACAGACATACAACAGCAGATACAAAGTAGAATGTAATACCAGAAATCTAGCTAAATAGCCAGGATGCTCAGTTATACCTCTTGGGTGATCTCAGTGTAAAGGCGAGAAACTGAAGTGACCCTAAACTCCCTAAACTGAGGGATGCCCTTTGTTTAAAAGAAAAAAAAGGGGGGGGCTTTAAAAATTAGTAATAATATTATAATTTTTTTGGGATAAACCCACTATATGCTTCATTTCACGAAATACAAGAGTGAAGTAGAATTCAGACGGGCATACAGTTGTATGTGAGCCTATACCAGTAAGCAAAGTAGATAAGTTAAGGAATTTGTTTTAGAGAGCCCATTTTGTTTATCATAGGATTTACATTGGGTAGTTTAACAGGATAATTAAAAACATGAAATGTGTACTGGAAGGTGCAGGTATAACTGAATGGTAGTTCTTCAGAAGAAACAAAGCAAAGGAAAGGGATTGAGGAGAAGGAAGGGGAGAAGAAAAGAGAAGGGAGCAGAAGTGGTAAAAAAAAGAAGACAAAAGAAAAAGGAAGGAAAGGAAAGGAAAATAATGCAATTGGTTCCTGAAACTTATTTACTAATTTTAAAAAGGAAATTCATTTAAGTGAAAAGGAGTTAGCTGGTTTGCTGGACAACTGATCTTTGTTTCATTAAGTTACTAGACTGGGATGACTTGAACTTTAAGGAAAGTAATACCGCCACTTTTCTTTTGACACAATTGAGAGAAGCAATAATAAAATAGCTTCATTTTACTTTACAAACTTAATACAATTCTTAAAGCAGAACCCATCTCCAGGGTAATTAATTGATCTTACTAATGACATTCATGAAAACAAAGTACTCAGGGCTAGAGGGGTATATTCAACAGTTACATGTGAAAAGCTGGCTTACTTTCAAAACTATGTAGGTTGATGTTAGGATTATACAAGAGTGCATTCACTGTTTTAAGAAAGCAATTCATAAGTATTAACGGGACATTCATTTTTCTTGTCCTGCAGAAAGCGAGGCTCGCCAGGATCCGGGCAGCCAAGAGCGGAAGCGCAAACGCCTACATGCAGAGCAAACGGAATGGCTTACTCAGTAATCAGCTGCAGGTAAATGAAGCCCTTTGCTTTTTTAATGTTCAATTTATTGGTGTAACATTGATTTAGTTCTACTTAACCATATAATTTTATTATGAGTAATTATGAAAATAGCTACCAAAACAACAGAAGTGTCATCTTTTAATAACTTCACCCCATACATTCCAATTGGCTATAGCAGATAAGACACTGTGCTAGAAAAGTAACCAATAAATCATAGTTTTCATTTATGATGAGGCAATATTTCTGCACTGTCTCATATTAACATGAGAAAGGTAAAAAAAATGTTCAATAGTTCAAATGCCTTATTCTGTTTTGTTTCAAAATTTCTTATGTTTCTTGAAAATCATTTGGGTAGGGGTTAGTTGGGGGTATGGGTGGGTGGGCGCTGTGCTATGATACCTTGTTTTACTTGTTTCAAGGAGAAGGAACACCAGTGTTAAGGTCATTCAGTATGAGACATAATTTGCGAAGCTTTACCTTTGCCTTCTCCTTTAGTATTTAGGATTCCAATCATCTTTACTTACAAAATAACTTTTATGTAAGTAAGCATGATGATGATTTCAGGATTTTTCTAAGTCTGAGGTCAAATTTTATTATCCAAAGATAATGGTTCCCAGGCTTACAGAGGTCCTCGAATGAGTAAAAGAGATTTAAATTTCCAATTCAGGGATGCATGTCTGAAAGATAAGATGGATAAGTTGATGAAAATGCAAATGCCGATCAGCCAACTTAAAAAGCAAGTGCACGTTTGTCCCTTTGTAGTTGGAAAAGTAAAATGCTGCCATTTAATCTTAGAAAATAGGCCAGATCCCTCTGTGGAAATGTGTAGCCAAGGTTCTCGTTGTTTGCAAATAAATAGAAAGCTCCTCTGTCTTCTCTTTGTTAACAGTCCTCAGAGGATGAGCAGGCCTTTGTTAGCAAATCGGGCTCCAGCTTTGAAACTCAGCACCACCACCTGCTTCACTGCCTAGAAAAAACCACGGTAAGGAGCCCACATGCTTAACTTCTCTGCACTCGGACAGGAATTCCGCTTGCTTCACTTTTGTTCTCATTTTCTAAACTAATTTTAGTTGCCACCTAATACGTGTAGATATTTCTGGGGCCCTCTATTTACTTTTGCACATACTTAAAGCTTCCAAGTGTGTTATCACTTTCTGCATTACTGGTAAAGATGCTAAAAACAGCCAACCAAACCAACCACTTTCCAATTACTTTCAATTGGGGAGAGTTGAAATGACCATCCTAAACCCTCTAAATTAGAGGATGTTCTCTACACAAAAAGTGCTTTAAAAATTAAGAATAATGTTATATTCTAGATAAGGTCACTGTGTTCTTCATTTCAACGAATTCAAGAATGAAATCGAATTCAGATGGGCACACACAGTGTGTGGCCCTGCAGCAGCAGATGTTGCTTGGTTTTGAAGGAACATGAACGATTTTGATCTTTATCTCATGATAAGTGGAAAATTATCTAAGGGTTTTAAACAGAGTAGTCACATGATTACATTTGTATTTTTTAAAGAATTATTTCATTTAACTTTATTTATTATCATTATTATTTTTCAGTTTTGATCAGAGAGATACAGAGAGAGAGAGAGAGGAAGTGAGAAAGCAAGCCACCAGGTCCGAGATTTGAACCATGGTCGGCCATGTGGGAGTCCAGCACCCTTAACCACCATGCCACTTGCCGGCCCCACATTTGTATTTTTTAAACAAGGAAATGGACACGTCTATAACTTACTAACATAACTCTGAAAGTCAAATGACACATTATTGAAAGAATATATTCATTTCTGTCTTTTCCTTTTCTTTCTTTCATTATTTTACCATTTAGGGCTTTTTAAAAGTGAAAAATGATTTAACATTAGCAAATATAATTTAAATTGAGCTACCTACAATAATATATGGCAACCAAAAGCAGAATGATTTTACTTCCTTACGAATTCTTTATCCACAATCTTTTCTCTAAAATGTAATACCTAACTTGAAATTCTGTTATGTCTCCTCACATTATTCTCTGTACTTTAAACAGTAAAATATTACATTTCGTTTATTTCAAAATGCTTGTCTCAGCAAAGAAATGACAAAATGAGTAACTAATACAATCTATTTCTTATTAGCCAGTGAATCGCCCCAATTGTTTTACTAATATTTCAGGCTAACCCATGGTTAAGTGGAATTTATTACGTGCAAAACTTTCCATTGTAAGGCTTCACACGCACAAAGGAAAAATAATAATTGAAGTCATTCTCTAGTAGTGCAGACCAAAAATGTTTTCCCTTGTAATTCTGATGCAAAATTCATACGTAGGCATTTTAGGAGGCAATCTTTTATTAAATATTTTAAAAGCAAAATTTACATGTCTATAAATTGTAGTATGTGAAATGATGTTCATTATCATTTCCTACTGAGCTAGCAATTAAGAAGATAGCAGTGGTTGGGGCCAGCAGGTAGCGTAGTAGTTAAGGAGCTAGACTCCACATGGCCAGCCACGGTTCAAGTCCTGGACCCAGTGGCCTAAAAATCACACCAGGCACATGGGCTGGCATGTTTAAAAACCTGAGGGAACAGAGGAGAAGGGATTATGGCATGACTTTCCCCCTCCGGGTGTGATTTCTTACTTTCCCTCCCTCTGTCTCGCTCTGGCAAACACATGTGCCCTATGACAAAAACCTCTTAAAAAAAAAAAAAAGAAAAAAAGAAGAAAGATAGTGGCAAAAGAAGCTTGAATATAGAAAGATTATGAGGACAACTAGTGATGTATAACAACAATAAGAAAGGAGACCACAGAAGTCCAGCATTATTAACCCACTGGGTCAAACACTAAGTGAAACATTTTACAGATAAATGTGTTTTTTACTTGTATTTCATATTTTTCAATACATTAGGGATTTTGAGAAAGTATCTAAAGAAATGAATAGTGTCTAAGTATCTCAATTTTCTAATTAAAAATGTTTTCAGTCCCATTTGGCAATATCTAACAGATATTTGGCAATATCTAACAGATTATCTAATTGAGGACATTCTATTAAAATAGCCTTTTTTGGGGGCCAGCAGATGGCATGGTGGTTAAAGGCACTGGACTCCCACATGGCCGACCACGGTTCAAGTCCCAGACCTGGAAGCTTGCTTTCTCACTTTCTCTCTCTCTCTCTCACTCACTCACTCTGTCCCTCTCTAGTCAAAATAAAATAAATAAATAAAGTTAAATAAAATAGTTCTTTTAAAAAATAACCTTTTTTCTATGACTTTAATCTGCTTTTAAAATATAGTCAATGCGAGGACCAGCAGTTGGCATAATGGCTATGTCACTGGACTGCCATTTAGTCAACTGTTGTTCAAGTCCCAGACCTAGTGGCTTAAACTCACGCTGGGCACGTGAGCGTACATGCCCAAGACCTCGAGAGGAAAATGGAGGAGAAGAGTTTGTGGCATGGCCATCCCCCCTGGGGGGTGATTTCTCACTTTCTGTCTCCCTGTCTCTCTCCTCTTTCTGGAGAATGCACACACTCTATAGCAAAAACTTCTCAAAATAAAAAAATACAGTCAATGTGAATTTACAAATTTCCTTTGGGTATTATTTGTATTCATTTTTAAAGATTGTTTTTCTTTCACTTATGACTAATTTATTTTTAATAAATGATATTTCAAGATAAAATTAGTCTATGAATGGACACTAAAATCAGCCTGCATCTGTAAATCTTTAATTCTAACTAGAGAGACTTCATTTCCCCACAAATGACAAAAAGAAGGATTTCTGATATTCTAATCTTTATGAAGACAATGTTAGTTGCCCATTGGATTGAGTCTAATTATAGAAGTGGGCTACAAAAAGCCAGTGGAAAAATGGAATTAAAGTACAAGTTAATTTGCTGTTTTGAATTTTAGTGTTTATTTCAGTGTTTTGATTTTTAGTGTTTTCACAATATATATTTTCTACAAACTTTTTTAAAACAATTATTTTATTTAACTTTATTTATTTATTTATTTATTTATTATTTTTTTTTTGACCACAGAGGGACAGAGTGAGAGAGAGGGAAAGTAAGAAAGCAAGCCACCAGGTGTAAGACTTGAACCTCAGCCAATCATGTGGGAGCCAGTGCCCTTAACCACCATGCCACCTTCCAGCCCTTCTACAAACTTTTTTAAGACCCCATAGTATAATGAGATATTTGAGTTTTTAAAATAAAAGTATGGATCACTTTTTTTTTAATGTAAAAAACATGTGTTTCTCTTCTTCCCATTGTTTACAACTGTGGAATAGAATCATGAGTTTGTGGATGAACAAGTCTTTGAAGAAAGCTGCATGGAAGTTGCAACAGTTAATCGTCCTTCAAGTCATAGTCCCTCCCTCTCTTCACAACAAGGAGTCACCAGCACTTGCTGTTCACGACGACATAAAAAAACTTTCCGCATCCCAAATGCCAACATCTCGGGAAGCCACCGAGGCAGTGTGCAAGAACTCAGTACCATTCAGATCAGATGTGTGGAAGGAACCCCACTATCTAACAGGTACCTGTGACTTTTCTGTGTTGTGACCACATACCAGTGCTGGTTCTTCTGCTATCATGTTGCTCCTTCTGTGACATCTGAGTCCTAGCTCCCTGGCTTTCAAAAGTTATAAACCAATACTGTAAAAACCAGGAAAATGGATCTACTCATATATCTTTTAAGGATCAAAAGTAGCAGTTGTATCAATATTAAAAGAGCAGAAAGAAGAAAAGAAGGTCAAGCACAGACAATTGTGTTTTTATCTCTTCAAAGCCACATTTTTTTTCTTATTTGATCAAGGACCTCTACACTCAGGAGCCCTTATGTAAACTTAAAATAGCCTAAAGTGATAGTCAATACCACCAAAGGAGACAAATGAAATTGAAAATGATTCAATGGCACTTAAAGATGTATCAACACATTCAATGTAAGTGCAAATTAAAACTATGCCCACACCACTCTTTTATCTATGTGAAATTTTGATCATAAAGGTATTTCTGGCCACATCAAACACAAAACCCAATTCAATACAAAAGAAGATAAGTGAGATACTAGAATTGTTTACCTCTCATTAATTTATGGACAATGTGAGTGAACATTTTATGTTGCCTTTTCTCTTTGCTGCTTTTTACTGTTCGTTTCTAGCACTAGTATGTATAATTCAAAATGGTACATTTAAAGTTTGTGTTATAAAAAAATCAATTTCTGCCAAAATAATTTCACCCTCTTCTTCAAAAAGAATAGCATGTTTTGTTTTTTTTTTAGATCAATAGTCTATATAATCAGTCTTGCTTTTTTGTTGGCATCCAATCTTTGTTGAAAATCTGCATGAGATTTTTAGTTGAGGCTATGTTGATTTATTGATATATAAATTGGATGTCTCTTAGGCCTGACTATTATAATTTGGGGCAACGAAAGATTTGTCTTTAGGACATTTAACTGCTCCATTGCTTTACATGTATTATGAAAAGAAGTAGAAAATAGAGAAGTGTGTAGAAAGAAAATCTTAGGACATAAACATTTTATTTATTTTCCATAAAAATAATATAGTTTTAAGCTCCTCTTTATACTCTTCTTTCTCTTTTCCTCTTTTCTCTTTCCTCACATAAAGTATGAAATTTGTATAAAAATACCACTTAGGAAAACCTTGAGGTACTAAATAGTAACAGCTGCCTTTTTAGGTTCTTACATGTAGCCATCCTTACACTGAGAGCTTTCGGGGCCTTACAAAGCCCACAGAGATAGCATACTCAAAACCTTCATGGTCAAAAGAATTGAGAAATCCACATGCTGGACTCTTTTATAATGGTCTTTTGAATCTCTCTCTGGTCCTGTTATTTTAAAAATTATTATTTCCTTCAACCCAGCTGTCCAGACCTTACCTGATCCTCTTTGTCTCTTTTATTTTTAGAATACACTGTTTGAGACACATTTGATTAAATCATATTGAGCTGGCTTTAAAAATATAACATTAATGGACTCATGAATGGTGTTTAATTTTTTAATTATGGTCATTTTTCTTAGACACTTGAAATGCTACTTACAAATACTAAATATATTCTTCAGTTCCATGAAACACAACTTAAATAAACTTACTTTCTTAAACGTACTTTTTTTTCTCATCAGCCGATCCAGTTTAAATGCCAAAATGGAAGAGTGTGTTAAACTAAACTGTGAACAACCTTATGTGACTACAGCAATAATAAGCATCCCAACACCTCCAGTAACCACACCAGAAGGAGATGACAGGCCGGAGTCTCCTGAGTATGCAGGAGGAAATATTGTCAGAGTGTCTGCACTGTAAGACAATCAAAATCAGGTCTAAGAGAATTTGAGCACTGGCTGTGGAAAGAATCCCAATGAAGAAGAAAGAAGAAACAATAAACCTTTTGCAGATTAAGACAGCAAAGCAAAAAGGTTGGTAGTGGAAAAAAAAAAAAAAAAGAAAGTTTCCAAACTTGAGGATGTGAATAAAACCACCACATGGCATTTCTAGACAGAGTTTAACCTGTTATACAGAGAAATATTCTGTGGCCCTTTGACTTTGTGAATGAGCACAATGAAATGCCGCCTATTGATGCTTCTTATGATCAGAACTCTTTTATAATAAGATAAATAAATCTTTGAACATAATGTTTCAGTTGAATGCAAAACAAAAAAAATATGGAAAACATTTTGATAAAAATTTTTCCTGTTAAATCCATGAACATTGGCTATGATGAAGATTATTACATTAAAAAAAATCATACAACATGTTTGTACTGACTGAAGGAAACCATCATAATGCATGCTAGAATTCTTTGGAGCAGTGATCTCAGTTTCCTTATGTTGTCTTCAGAATAGGCATGATAAACTATAATTGTAGAAAGGGGGAATTTCTGTGCACTTACAACAAGCTGACTGTTCATGTTCAATGGTGGGCTGTCCTAACAAGCTCCTTTTAGAACTGCAGTATTTCTCATGCGGATGCCCAGTAGTAAACCTAAAATGTTCAGATAGTTCAGCATTATCGTTTAACCTTGCACCTAGATACTGTTACAACTGCAATAATTCATTGTACACCTGTTGTATCAGGAATCAGGATTTTTTTGTCGTTGTACTTTCCGGATCTTCATAGATACAGTAAAAGCCACATTCATAGAAAAAATTTCTAGTGTGGCTAGGTTTTAGGTAACTTTTTAATCCAAAACTATTGTGCCATAAATGTTTTTCAGTAATATTCTTTGGTCTACTGTATTCTTGTGACACAGTGCATTATCTGTTCCTGTATTTCTATAGCACCTTTCTATTGGGTTTATTGTCATCAACTGGACTAATGTTTATTGTAGTTCAAATGACTTTCCTACTTTTGTATTCTCCCCCCAAAATTATCTTGTAAGTAGATTATCATCAATCCCCTTGTCAAAACTAGAAAAAAGGAGTTGACATCTATGAATTATTGCTAATGTCTTTGCTGTTCATGGAAAAGCCCAGATACTGGATATATCACTATGTGTTTCATGAAAAGAGTTGGCTGGGACTAATATCACAGGATCAATGATCTCAGAATTTACTTGATGTATTATTTATTTTGCTTTAGATCTTGAATACATTTTGAGACTAACTAATGTGAATTGAAATGCAGAGATAAACTGGAGTGCTTTATGTAGCAATATTTTGATGAAAGCACGCTTTCTATACCATTCAGGAAGGCGCACAAATTTATCTCAGAAAGTTTCCTGTATACTGCAAGATGCAATTTTCTCCAGTAAATCAGGAGAACAGGAGTTTGATGATGCAAAGTTGATTTCTATGTACATTTAAGTGAAAAGTCTTTATACCTTTTCACCCTTTAAATATATCAGCAGACGTGTCTGCACGTGACGATGTAAAAAAGTTTTATGTCAAATGAGAAGTTTTGTTCATTCCAAGCCACCACTGTAAGGAATAAAGCTTAGCTTCTGTACATGAAAAGAGTTAATAATTATCTCTCTATTATAGAGATTTTAAAATGCTTCTTGTAATTTATCATAAAAAGAAATTAATCCAACCATTTTCAAGTAAAGCCAGAAATGTTTGCTTCCCATGTCTAGACTAGCTCCTAAAACAGTGCTGTACACACAATAGGTCTTAATAAACGTTTGCTGAGTGAAAGTAAGAGAAACTCAACTATCTCTTGGGAAGTACTGGCTTCATTCCTCATTATGTCTCTTAAAAAGTTACTAACCTTCCAGCAGCGTGAATATTAACAATTATATTAACACCTGCCTGTTGTCACTTTATGCTTCTAGAGCAAATGTATAGTGAAACTTCTTCGATGGCATTTATTAAAAAAAAAAAAAAAAACTTTAAAAAGTAGACTAAGAAAATCACAATCAGAAATACTTATATCTTCTGATTCCCAATGAAAAGTTCTATTTTTCATGTCCTTAATATTATATAAAGAAAAATACAGTTAGGTTATTTTGGTTGACAATTCTGACTCTTTTGATTTATTATTTACCCAAACTATTCATTTCTTTAGACCTTTGGAAAAGAAAAAAAAACTTTTTTGGTGTTTTAGGTGATTTAAAAATATACTGTGTTGGTGGTGAATGACTCTTGATGACTGTGTTAAGTGCATCTGTATTGTAAGTGAAGTGTAATTAGTTCTGTGTACCATATGGAGTAACTAAGGTCATTGTTTTTGACAATTTTGTTTGAAATTCATATATCTTATTTCAAAGGATAGCATAATATCTGCATTATGCTGGAAAAAATAGACCTTTGGAGAATACTTAAATAAAACATGTGCATGCTTGAACAGGATAACGTGGTTGATTCTTGCCCTGTTTTTTAGCCCTCATTTCTTTCCAAATCCTAGAATATGTTGCTTACATATGGGAGAGGGCCATGTAACACATACCAACTCAAAGACCCAGCAATGGAAGTGATACTTCAATCTAGTCTAAACAGGTAGAGACAGTAGCTTTGCCAACTGTGGGAACTGAAGTGAGGACTTTTTTTAGAGAAGAAGTGTTTGTTTTTGTTTGTTTGTTTTGCTATAGGGCAGATGTGCTTGCCTGAGACAGAAAGAGAGAAAGTGAATAATCACCTCCCGCCCCAAGGAGGATGCCAATTCCACAATCCTTTCTCCTGCATTCTTCTCTCAGGATTTTTGAAACCCACACACATGACCCCAATGTGAGTTTCAAACTGCTGACTCAAAGCAAGGTCAGCCATTTGGTAGTCCAGCACCAAAACCACCACACCACCTGCTGGCCCTAAGTAGAGAGTTAATATCACTTAAGTAAGGCAGTCCCTTCACCTTACATGCTTCACCACCACTACTTGTGTTAAGCAAAGGGAAGTCCTAATATAATAACTTTGGTCAAAATTCAATTGCATTCCTAGTCAAAGCCTTTTTTCTTTTTATGAAAACAGGATAATTTATCTGACTAGCTGTGTGTGTGTGTGTGTGTGTGTGTGTGTGTGTGTGTGTGTATAAATATTTATTCATACATAAATATGTAGGGTTTTTTATACCTTTATTACAATATACACATTCTGAAGGTTTCTCTTCAATAACATGAAGGGGACAAAAGCAAGAAATGTTAAGAGTTTGTTAGTTTATGTCTCCTGAAGACATCTCTTCAACAAGGCTATATAAAAGTATCCTTATTTAAAGTACTTTCTGAAATCTCTCCATTACATCATTAAAATCCTCTTTCTGTGGGTAAATGATCTCTCTCAATGACAAAATGTGGTGGGGGCACTGAGTTCATGGATTCCCTACCTGATTGAAGAAAGAACAAAAATCAGACAAGATGAAGGAAATCAAAAGGGAGACAGAGTTTTGCATTGATGGCTTGATCATGGTCAAATAACTAACTTTTCCCCAAGTATCCACTCTGCCTTTCTTATCATAATTTCAGAGAATATAAAGAAAGCTATTATGTAGAAGGAGTAACCAAAACTGCTGCTTTGATTCCTAACACTATTCCTCAAACTAATTCATCTGATGAATACTATTGAAATAGCTGAGAGAATGGGATACTAGAACAGTACATAAAAATAATTTAAAAAGAACGCATGTTTCTAATCAGGGACAATCACTAAAAACATGATCTTAGATAGTTTATGTTAATTCCAAAGAGTGAGTTGGCTGAAGAAGGGTATGGAATCGTTGAGGAACACAGATTTGGATGAACATGGAAGACAAGGGGTAGGGTGTTGGAAAAACACATCTTTGGACTTCAATTCTAATGGACAATAAGAATTTTTGAGTTTGGTTTAGATCAGTGTAATTTCCTTGCTAGAGCTGTGAATTGTAATAGCAAAAGGTCTTTATCTTAACAGAGGAACAGTTTTTAATAGTCAAGCACTAATAAGTTTCTCAGCGATCTCCTAGACACCTTGCACAGCAGAAAACAGAGTCCTAAAACATCAGAATAAGAAACAGGTATTAAGAAATGTGAAAGGGAGTTAAAAGAGCCAAGCTTGAATGAGCACTGAGTTGGGTAGATTAATCTACTAAATTTCCGATCAGAGACACTATCTTAGAGAGGCAGAAAATTGTATATCACAGTGTATAGACATTTTAAAAGTAAACGCATCATGTACATTCACAATTTCACATAGAACTCAGTTTGATCTTGCATTATTTTTATTCCCAGTCAACCTGATAAGAACCCAATGCACAAGCCACAGAAATAAAATCCTAGTGCAACTCTAGATACACAGTTTCTCTCTTGAATAGATCTACCATGAAAATTAAATAATGATTACTATAACTACCATAAAAAGCTAAAAACAATATTAATTTATGTAAATAAATTATAATTAGAAATGAAAGTATAAATATTAATATAAATTTATTAGGCTTTAAATACATACCACACACTGTGCTAATTTACATTTATCAATTTATTCAATAACTATAGTCGCCACATTTCCTGTTTTGTTTTTAAATTTGTGTATTAATTTCTTCCATGAATGAGAGAGATACCACCTGCAACAGGATCTTGTTGCCATGATCCAACCCCAGCCTCAGGCAGCCCCTACTGACATGCATATATGTAGAGATGTTGTTAGACACAAATCCATAACCTTCCCATGCAGGTTAACCTCACAGAACATCATATTTGACTGCTGTGCCACCATCCAGCTCCTCTATTAGTCACATTTCCTGTTGAGGAAACTTAAAGAAAAAGGATGAGTCTGGATTTTTCTACTTAGATAATATACAATGTTTAATTAAATCATGAATTTCTGTGATAGAGTTCTATTGTGTAGAAATATCGACTTGATTTCTTCTTGCAGACTAAAACAGAAATCAAAGAAAATGGAGGTGATGGGTAGAGAGGGAAGCCTGATTATAGATAGCTATGCTCTAGTGATCACAATGTAATTATCTACAATGGTCAATATGTCTCCTCAGTTGTCTTTGGTCCTAATTTTTTTCTTATTTTGAAAAGTGTGTTGCTAATAATTGCTTCATGATTGAGCAAATGAAAATAAAATGGAACGTAGCGAGGAAATGTATCACCACCCTAATTGACAAAGATTTCTCCAACACCTTGATATCATACAGCATACACATTGAGTTAATTTTTCAGTAACAGAATTATGTTGGTGCATCCACCACCTCTCATTCGCTCCCCTTTTCAAACAAGGCCTGCCAACATTTTCAAGGCTGTTGGTCAGGACCGTAGTTCTAGCCTGCAGCATTTAATTGGCACACAGTCTAAGTCCTGGAGGCTGATGAGAACAGAACAGAAATGTTTTGAAATTAATGTCAATAACCGCAATTCCCATCCTTCATTATCTTTTGTATCTTTCTAAATTCTTGCAGGCAAAAGTTTCAGAGATGACAGTAAAGAGTCTACTGACATTTAGTACCATATGCATTATACAGCACAGAAAGATTCAAATAGGCAAATATCCACATAATTCAGTGTCTCAAATTTACATGAGACGATTGAAAATAGTGCTGGATTTTTCCATCCTCACAAAGAATTCTGAAACTTTTCGGTAGGCCATTGATTTTTTTTATTTGTTCCTAATAAAATAAAAAAGCTTCAATAAAGGTGTAAACACAGACATTTGATTTACGCAGAACTGTAGAAAATTTAATGTACCTTTTAAAATGGTACTTGGAATATAACTGCTTGCCATAAAACTTCTTCTTTGGGTTTCATCGTTTGCTTGTTTTATGTTCCAAAATAACAGTGGCCTATTAATAATATCTCTTTATCTTCTTTTTCAATATTTGTTTCCTACTTTTCAGATGATAAATGCATTATTCTTTGTATTACTGTTGAATCCAAAACTTTTTGGACATAAAAAAATTGCTGTGAAATTATGACTAAAAAATGTGATGACAAAATATTATATTTATAGCTTATCTCTGTCAAATCCTACTAAAGATGATAAATTATAACAATTTGATATGTTAAAAATTGATATGGTAAATTATAATTTTATGAAATTATTAAAATAGTACTACTATAAAATAGTAAAATGCCTCCAAATTGCTATACAGATGACAAAATATTATATTTATAGCTTACTTCTGTCAAATCCTACTAAAGATGATAAATTATAAAAATTTGATATGTTAAAAATTGATATGGTAAATTATAATTTTATGAAATTATTAAAATAGTACTACTATAAAATAGTAAAATGCCTCCAAATTGCTATACAGAAATATTTTTAAAAATTGAATTTCTGTTTTTTTATCAAACTAGGAATACACAGCAGCTGAACCCTAACTTAACATCACACTACACCATGAAAAAGAGGCATGTAGATAACATCAGACAGCTCACTAATGTCTAAGATGAAATTAATTTATTCATCCAAATGTCAAGAGCCCTCTCATGAGAGGCTACAACAGAATTAGAGCTATGAGTGACTGCAAGAACCTGAAACCGTATGTCATTTGAGACGCAGAGCTGGGAAGGTCAGAAGAATTCTACATTATAGCAATTTCTTTGGTTGTTTTACTGAGAATTCAGTTCATTGCCAAAGAGTCTGAGAATTTAGTAAAATTTGCTCCACCTATTGACAATTCCATGTAGACTTAGAATTTAGTAGGATTATCAGAAATGTATTCAAGATTTTTACGCCTATCACTTATATCCTCAAATTTTAAGTGTTTCAACCTGAATTTAGAATGAATATTAACATGATTATAATAAACTCAATGTAGGAGACTAAAATTAAAGCCGTAAGTCAAAAAAATAAGAATATACAGGGGCCAGAAGGTGGCATGTTGGTTCAGGCAATAGACTCGCATGTGGCCAATTGTGGTTTGGTTTCCAGACACAGTGG